GTTATAATGACCCTCTGAGAGGTCCTGCCCAGTCTCCCCTCTCTCTAGCAGGACCAATCATGCTTCTTTGGTGTTACCATCATACCCATATCTCTCACTGCACTCCTCAGCTGTAAGACAAAATACTGGTTCTCGTGTTTGTCTCTTGCTTGTTAGCCCTTGAGGCTTGAGATTTCTCAAGCAAGAATACTACCTGATGCAAAGAAAGTCCGTAGCCTGTGTTTGCTGAATAGCTGAATAGAAACACCAAAGAGGGAAGGATTAATATTGTCTGGGAGTGGTCATAAAACTGGAAGAGGATATTTTGGGTAGAGGCAATAGCATAAGTAAAGGCATGGAGGAGAAGCATGACCTATTCAGGAATTAGTCATTCACATGGTGGGACTGGAAGGGTGAAGGGGATAGAGGAGAAAGAAGAGCCGAAGAACTGCAGAAGATGAAGCATGAAAGGCTTTGAATTTTAGGCCAGAAGTTAGACTTCAGCCTGTAGACAGTAGTTTCCAAATGTTGTACATGTAGTTATCACCAGCATGCCTCTTAGATAAAGGTCCTACTCACAGGCTTAAGAGGTCAGTGACCTCTCCCTGCAAGGCCCCTGCAGGTGGATACTTGCCTTATGATCAAGTCTTCTTCTTGGCCCCACATGGACAAAGCAGGAAGTAAAACTGAAGATGGCCTATGGACTACCGAGCCTACCTCACCTAGTTTAATAAGAACAGTCCCAGTTCAGTGAAAAAATATTAAATGTTTCCAATAGATTACCTATGTGAAAGTAGACTTTGTCATATGTACATACCTGCAAAATGATCACAAGATAATAAACATACAGTTGGTCTTTGGCATCCTAGGGTTCTACATCCATGGATTCAACCAACTGCAGATCAAAAATATTTTAGTCAGGGAGCGGTGACTTATGCCTGTAATCCCAGCACTTTGGGAGACAAAGGCGGGAGAACTGCTTGAGCCCAGGAGTTTGAGACCAGCCTGGCCAACATGGTGAAACCCTGTCTCTACTGAAAATACAAAAAATTAGCCGGGTGTGCCACCACACCCGGCTAATTTTAGTTTTTGGAGAGACAAGATCTCACTAATTTGCACAGGCTAGTCTCAAACTCCTGGACTAAAGCAAATCTTTCCATCTTGGCCTCCCAAAATGCTGGAATTACAGGGGTGAGCCACCGTGCCTGGCCAATCTTTTTTTTTTTTTTTTTTTTTTTTTTACTTTTAGTAGCAATGAGATCTTGCTGTGTTGCCAGGTTGGTGTCCAACTCTTGAGCTCAAGTATTCTCCTGCTTCAGCCTCCCAAAATGTTGTGATTACAGGCGTGAGCCACTGTGCTCAGCCCCAAGTACCTTTTTGTAGGAAGAACTGCTCTGAGATTATGGCTTTAGCAAATGACACTGGTGTTTCATTCCTATCTCCAACCCTCTGTCAGGGGGCTGCCTAACCCAATTTATCTGGCTTAAACAATGACTAACTAAAAATAAAATTAAAAAAAAAAAGATACACACACTACAGCTCCATTGCCCCTTACTAGGGCAACTCTGAGGTGTGGCCTACACTCTTTCTAGCATTCTCTGTGAGTTTGAAAGTTCCTCTTTATGGGATGTGACTTGATAAGCATCCAGTGTGGCTTCCTTCTCTTCTTTTCCCTGTCTCACTCCTTCCCACTCCTTTACTGGGTTTTCGTGGAATAATTTCCCAGGAAATCATTTTAAGAAGTAACTTAGGCCGGGCACGGTGGCTCACACCTGTAATCCGCAGCACTTTAGGAGGCCGAGGTGGGCGGATCACGAGGTCAGGAGTTCGAGACCAGCCTGGCCAACCTAGTGAAACCCCCACTCTACTAAAAATACAAAAATTGGCCGGGCGTAGTGGCATGCACCTGTAGTCCCAGTTACTTGGGAGTCTGAGGCAGAAGAACTGCTTGAACCTGGGAGGTAGAAGTTGCAGTGAGCTGAGACCATGCCATTGCACTCCAGCCTGGGTGACAGAGTGAGACTCCATCTCAAACAAACAAACAAAAAAGTAACATACATTAAATGAACAGAAAAACTTTTGGCTCAAATCACACACCAGTCAGCTTCATCCTGTGATTTACTGCATGGCACTGTGTAATAAATCACCAAAATATTGGTGCTTCTTTGAAATGCAAAGTCCAACTGTAAGATCTAAGGGACTATGTTGGATTTGGATCCTGGTGAGGGATCCTACAGCCTAATGACATTCTGACCCAATTAAATGTCCCATCAGATTACTCTCCAACTCTTTCCTCCTCTCACTAGCTGAATCCTTTTGTTCTCACACCACAGTTCAGTTCACAGTTTATCTTGCCAGGGCTCATGCCATAGCCTGGCACTCTAGCATTTGTTTCCACGATTCCTAAACTATTAATTTCCCTCAGCTGGCTGAGTCTCCAGTGGCCCGGATCCTCCACAAAGTGGTCCAGACTGTAGACCTTCATGCCATGGAACCAGTGTTCCTTATTTCACATGAATGGCCATGTCCAACCAATCTCGCAAACACTGGCAATATGATGAAATGCAAAGCCTTGTAAGACAAGGGCACATCCTGTTAGATGTGGGAAGGCAACATGAACTCTCTCCCGAGTGAACACAATTCCTTTTGAGAAACAGGTTGGGGTTTCAACTAGGGTTTCTCAACCCCAGCACTATTGACATTTTGGGCCAGATTAATTGTGGGAAGCTAGTCTGTGCATTGGAGGATATTTAGCAACATCTCTGGCTTCTACTCACTAGATGCCAGCAGCATCCTCCTTTTGTTGTGAAAGCAAAGCATGATAAGACCAGGGGATCAGGATGGCTATAAATAAATGAAAGCCTCCCTTATTTTGTATGTAATGTTTTGTTGGCAGAAGAATTTTCAGTTGTTTTCTATGAGAAGCTTCTCTTCACATCTTTTAAAAACAGATTTTCCCTATATTGCTAATCCTGTCTCTCCTTACACAAACATATCCACATCAATCTTTTCACTGCAGCACTAATGAATAATGTTTCTTTGCTGCCCATCAGAGTGGCAAAGAGAAAAGGGAATGGCAATATTCCATGTGATTGTGGGAAGGGGGAGATGAATACTCACAAACTGCCAGGGACATATAAATGATTGGGGAAGAATCTGACTTGGGAATATAATTTGGCATCATGTATTAAAACTTTCATGAAATATATGTAAGCTCTCTGACCCTAGATTACATATTACCACAATTGAATAAATGGAGAAGATATTATGTAGAAGAATTTTTCAAAAATAATAAAAATTAGAAACAAAATGTTCAACAGGGAGCTGATTACATCATGGCACAGCCATAAAATAGAAATTCATGCAAAAATGCAGACATGTATTTGTTCCCAATGTAAGTGAAAAAACAGGTTACAAAACAATGTATATATAGGTATAGAAAAAAGTCTGAAGAAATAGACACTAATAATTTTAACTACATTTTTGAGTGAAAGAATCACATATGATTTGTCTTTAACATTTTCCCCCCTTAAAATGATTACATAATCTTTGTATAACAGAAAAATAAAGAGCCACTAATAAGTACTGCAAACAGCAAGGTCCATGAAAGCAAGGCTTTCCACGGAGAAAATGGGAGACTGGTTTCCCTGCTCTACTCTGAGAACACCAAACACAAACCAAGGTAGAACCCAAGATAGAAGCCACTCAAGCTGCTTCAAGTCAAAGTTGGGCCAGAGGTAAGATGTTTAGAATCTTCTCAATCCTACCAACTATACAGATCTTTACTGTTTTGGACATTTGCTTTTCTTCTCTTGTACTTATCCATGTAAAGTCTTATTTGATTAATGGTTGAATCTATACATATTTTAAACTTCCCATTATTGTATGAAGAGTCTGTATGTTAATAAACTGACTGGCTGACTCACCTTAACTGAACATTTGGTGCAAGAGCTGGGGGCAAGGGAAATGGAGAGGAAATGAAGCAGAGGCTCCTCCATGTTTCTGTTCTTCTCTTACCAGGAAATGAAGACTGCATCATCATGCCCACAGGTGAAGTAGCTCAGCATCCTTTCCTATCTGCATGTAAATGCATGGACCCAATGGGTAAATTATACCCTAGAACAAAATGTTTGTCTATAAGTTTTGGGAAAAAATAAGACAATGTGCAGAGACAAACAGAAAAAAAAAAGTGCTTCCTTTCTCTCCTTCTCCAAACAATCTGCTATATATGCAAGAACCTAAAATAGTAATCCTATTTCTGCCCTGAAAGGAGATGACTTTGGATCAGAAGGGGCACTTGTTATACCATATGAGTAATAAGCCAAGTTTGCCTCAAGTCCTACTGGAGAATAATGCCAATTATCTCAAGGTTTTCCACTTTTATAAAACCTTTTTTTATGGCTGCCACTTTGAGCAAGTTGTTAAAAAACCCTGGTTGCTTACTTTAGGGTGAAAACAACTCTAGCTATTAGGAAGCTATGCACCAACATATAATAAAGTTAGCTGAAATCTACACAGCAACAAGGAAAGTGGTAAACTCTCTGATCATATAATTTGCACTAACGCTGATTTGAGAGGACAGAATTCTTCCTTCCTCTCAGAAAGATGAGAGATGATTCTGCCAGAAATACAGGAATCTGCATACTTCCCAAAGAGTAAAATACAAATTTAAGAACCTGACATTATAAAACTGTCCTATTTAATTGATTTCATACCATTTTATTCTGGCAGAGAGCTTGCACTTGGGCAAAAATGGCATTTTTGACTCCAGTCTATAGGGATTTTATAACTTTATCCACCTGCCCAACACAACTATGCCGAGGCCGGGAGTGATGGCTCATGCCTGTAATCCCAGCACTTTGGGAGGCCAAGGAAAGAGGATCACTTGAGCTCAGGAGACCAGTCTGGACAACACAGTGAGACCTTGTCTGTACAACAAACAAATAAACAAACAAAACAAACATAACTATGCTCTTTGTCACTCAAACTCTCATTGTCTTTTTACATAATAAACACAGGTATTTACTCTCTTTCAGATATTTTATTTTTCTTATTCTGACATTAGGCTATGAGAAGTACAAAAGATCCACAAGTACAAAAAAATCTGTATAGCTTTGTGGTAGTTCAAAAAAATGCAAGAGAACAAAACAATTTTTTGAGTAATATTCATCTCTACAGATCTGAGTGACAGTACGCTTGAAACACTGCTGTAAAAGTGGTAAAAAATGATTTCATTGTGATTATTTTAAAATTTTTGATGTCTCTTTCACTTGTTTAGGAAATTTGTCTTCTGACATTTATGTTGGATAGATTCTTTACCTGTATTTTGCTGAAGCTCAATTCCCCGCCTCTTCAGGGCTTCAATGATGACACTTTTGTTTTTATAGTCAGCTAGTGATGTTTTGTCCAAAGGAAGATTCTGACAACAGCTTCAGCGGCAAGAAAATCTGGATATAGATTTATAGTTATTGTCCTTGTCAATGTAAAAAAAAAAAAAAAGTTGAAAAATGTTGATGACTTTTTCTTAGTGTTAATTTCTCTTCCTGCAAGGATTTAATTTCATACTCATGTTGAGGATGAATTACCTTTGATGCGGTTTTTTTTTTCCAAAGTATTTTTAAAAAGCTTTCTTGAACAGATGAATTCTTCTACCTATCCCTAGGATTCTGAGTAAAGATGACATATTGGAATAGGATAAGTCCAGGTTTATCTTTGTACTTTCCTACCTAATATCCTGTTGGACACAGAGAATTGAGATCTCCATGGATGTTCAGTAACTCTAGGAATGGCTGAAATTAAAAAAACAAAACCAAAAACTCACTTTATTTAATCATAGATAATAAACACAATGCCAGAAGGTTATAGACACAAAGGCCAAATGAACAATGAAAAGCCACATCAGAGGCTGCCTGAGAGCTTAAGACTTTTTTTTCCTCTGCTTAATGAGAAATAAGTTATCATTGTCATCATCTTCCAAGCACCTCTCCTTTTTCTTCTGCTTGCCCCTCTTGCCCTCCTTGGGAGACTTGTCTTCTCTTGACATATGGTAATGCGATGAACGGTGAAAGAACTTAGAAGGCTTCTGGGTTTTAAAACTGCCAGTAGGAGAGTAGGGTTTGGGACCCCTGGGAAAATCCTCATCCACTTCACGATGTCTGTCAGCCCTCCTGTGCTTCTCCCAGTTTCTATTCTTGTTCTTCATCTCTTTTTGTGTTTCTTTATTTTCTTGAGGCCACCTGTTGCTTTTCCACGAGGCACGGCCCTTTCTTATATCATGGTGGGGGTTCTCATTTGCTGCTTTTAGATAAGGCAGCTTGGATGGCTCTGGGATAACCCCATTTTTCTTGAGTACTGAAAAATATAAAAGTATTTTTGCATATTCAGCAGCTAAACAGTCCATGCTGAGCTTTCCTAAGTGTAAATAACTTAACAGACAGGGAAGTTAAGACATTTAAACATGTTAACAATATGACATCACTCACTAAAAATTAAATTTCTAAATTTCTGATTGCTAAAAATGAAACACATTCACAAATCCAATGATAGTTAATTATCCTTTTCAACAGTTTAACAAGGTTAAGCAATGGAGACGAGGACCAGTAAGAACAGTAATCGTCATGGCTTTGTGAAGAAAAGTCATGTCTGACCAATACAAGTTTCCCCAATGATGAAGACTCAGCCTTTGAAAATAAGGCAAAGCAAGATTTATAAAACAGCCTTTTGATGGTCTCATATGACATTTCAATTACCCTCTAAAGATAAGGCCTGGCCACAGTACTTTTAGGTGGATGTCAAACTGCCCAAGAGATTATTCCTCCAGGGTAGAGATCACTGGCTTTGAGGAGTGTGTGCGAGTGCACGTGTGTGCAAGTATCTTAGAGGTTTTAGTGATAAAGCTGATGTTATGTTTTGTCAGGGCTTGACACACTTAATACGTGTCTCTGAGGGTAGTGATTCTGATACGGGTAGGTGGGAGATGAGGTTACAGTGAGAGATGAAAACTAGCAAGTCAACAGAATCTTTAAAGATTAAAAAAGTGGCCAATAAAAACTTATAGCATAGACATTTATTATAAACATTTCAATGGATCATAGTGAACACCTCAAAGTGGATTCAGGCTACAGATGTCGATAGGACTAGCTAAAACAAAAAAGCAAAATTGTTTTTCTCTGATTATAAAAGTCATAACTGCTCATTATAGAAAACTTAGAAAAAACAGAAAAGTATAAAGAACATAAAAAAACAGAAAGCACACATAATCCTTTAATCTAGAGATGACATTTTCATGCAATTCTTTTTAATCCCTTTCTAATCTGGTTGCCTAATCATAATCTACAACTACTATAACTTCTACATACAGTTGACCCTTGCGCAATGAGTTTGAACTATATGGGTCCACTTAAATGTGGATTTTTTCAACCAAATGAGGACTGAAAATACACCATTCCACAGATTAGAAACTTGTGTATATGAACGGCTACTTTTTCCTATACTCAGGTTCTGCAGAGTCAACTACGGGACATAAGTATGTGCAGATTTTGGTAAATGAGGAGGTTCCTGGAACCAATATCCAGGGATAGCTGTAGATGACATACATTTTATCTTAAATATGTAAAATATGCAGGAGCTGGGAGAGTAATTCCTCTACTTTCCTCAGAATTAGTACCTTCATTTTGGAAAAGTCTTGAACTAAGAGTCCAAAAAAGAAAAAGGCCAAAAGAGTCAGAAAATAAGGTATAGAACAAACTAAAAAATACAAAGCTGTTTTGTTTTTAAAGCAAGAAAGATAACTTGGAAAACCACCTTGGAGTAACAAGAAATAACAGAGGTAGAGAAAACTTAAATGATAAGATATTAATTTGGTGATAAAGAACCATGTGTGAAACAGTAAATACAGAAACCATAGAGGTGGTTGTGAACTTGGAGCTCTGCTTGCAGTAGTGGCCTATAAGAAATGACTTTTTCAGGGAAGCTCCAGGAACAAGTTAGCAGGAAAGCCTTTCCTTCCATAAAAAATACTGGAGAAATACAAATGGAAAAAGAAAATTACTTGTCAAACAGAAAAAAATCTCAAAGGAGCCTTTAAAAACTGCCTACACAGATGGATAGCAATATTTTCTGGACATTTCCTAAAATGATCACTGTAAAAAAAATTATTGTGATGAGACTGCAACATGGGATTATTTCTGAAGTGGGTGTTTGGTTTTTGGAGATCAAGAAAGTTCCAGTTTCTTTGGTAATTATTAAAAATACTTTCTATGCTAACCAACGACCCCCAAAGCAGGCAAAGACAGTACAAACACAGAAATTTAGAAACTACTGCAAACGTGATCTAACAAGAAGTCTAGCAACATACCTTTTATTTTTTGTTTTAGTCTCTTCTCTCTCTCCTGAATTTCATATTTGTCATCATAGTAGCAGATGAATGGCGATACTGGAGATGGGTCATACACTTCTCTTTCTGGACATTCCTACAAATTGTATTTAAAATTATGATGTCACATGGTCACACTGTTCAAAAACCTTTTTGCAAGAGTCTGTAGGATGTTAATTAGAATGAGCCCCATATCACTGGTACCTCATGTGGTGGCAGTAGGACATGGTCCTTGCTGGGGTGCTGGGAGGGTCACCCAGCCCTAAACCACACTGTGTTATGATATTCTTTCAAGCTTGAGTTTTCTTCCCTTACTTCTTTACCTATGAAACCCTTCATATCTTTTTTCAGCCTTCTCTGCCTAACTCCTTTCACAGTCTGAGGTAGCAACCTTGCCCCTCTGTTGGTGGGTTTATGTTATTTGGCTTCATGTTAGTATTACTCCTTTGCTTGTCCATCACTTCCAAAAGGAAGCTTATTTTAACTCAACATCCACTGCTTATAGGGGTAGTGATTCTTTTTTTTTTTTTTTTTTTTTTTGAGACGGAGTCTCGCTCTGTCGCCCAGGCTGGAGTGCAGTGGCGCGATCTCGGCTCACTGCAAGCTCCGCCTCCCGGGTTCACGCCATTCTCCTGCCTCAGCCTCCCGAGTAGCTGGGACTACAAGCGCCCACAACCGCGCCCAGCTAATTTTTTGTATTTTTAGTAGAGACGGGGTTTCACCGTGGTCTCGATCTCCTGACCTTGTGATCCGCCCGCCTCGGCCTCCCAAAGCGCTGGGATTACAGGCGTGAGCCACCGCGCCCGGCCTGGGGTAGTGATTCTTATGCTGGGGGGTAGATTGGTGGTAGGTTATGCCTAGTTTAAAACTGTTCCCAGGTCATTGTGAGACACACCAAAAGAAGTTTCTCTTCTTGCTTCCCCCACCCAAGTTGAAATCCCTACTCTTACTCATTTTCCCAGGACAGCTTCCTACTCTCATGACTCTGGCCTCCACACAGCTAGTATTTCCCAAATCCACAGTCTTTGGCCTGAACCACTCACCACATAGCAGGCTTTTGTTTATCATGATCTGTGACACATATCCATTCAGCATGTTTGAAATCTTTTCTTTTGGAACTTTCCCCTTTCTGCCTCTGCCATCTTGCCTAAAAGTTACTTTAAAATGTTGTTTCTTAGCTAAGTAATGAAAAACAATTAGAATACATATTAAAGAGTAAGTGAAAAATCCACATAAAATTGAGCCAAGTCTGAACTAGCCAAGCTAGCAGCCAAACATTTAGGTACTTAATTTGTAGTTAAAAAATTATAAATCACTCCAAACACACACTTAAGTATAAAAAATAATTAAAAACCTATATTCATCCTTATATAAAACCATAACATTTTACCTTAGTTGCCTTGTTTTTCCCCCAAGAATAAAATATTACTGATATAACTGAAATCCTCTGTGTAAGTCCTTCCCATTTTGCGCTCATCTCCTTCCCTTTCCAGAAGTTACCACTGTCATCAAGTTGAAGTTGGCCATTCTCATGTGTTTTTATACTCTTACTGACGAATATTCCAGTGAACAATGATATAAGTTTTAAGCTTCAGACTTCATAATTTTTATTTGTTTTTTGTAGAGGCAAGGTCTCACATTATGTTACCCAGTCTCAAACTGGCAGCCTCAAGAGGTCCTTCCAACTTGGCCTCCCAAAGTGCTAAGATTACAGGTGTGAGCCATAGTGCCTGGCCTTATGCAATTTCTTTAATGGTATTGGTTCAGTTGATTTGTTCTTCTTGAGTCAGTTTGGTAAATTTACATATATATTTTGGAGTTAGTTGCATTTTCAGATTTAACTTTATGAAGTACTGTCTTATAATTTAAAAACATTTATGGCCGGGCGCGGTGGCTCAAGCCTGTAATCCCAGCACTTTGGGAGGCCGAGGCGGGCGGATCATGAGGTCAGGAGATCGAGACCATCCTGGCTAACACGGTGAAACAACATCTCTACTAAAAATACAAAAAACTAGCCGGGCGAGGTGGCGGGCGCCTGTAGTCCCAGCTACTCGGGAGGCTGAGGCAGGAGAATGGCGGGAACCTGGGAGGCGGAGCTTACAGTGAGCCGAGATCGCACCACTGCACTCCAGCCTGGGCGACTGAGCGAGACTCCGTCTCAAAAAAAAAAAAAAAAAAAAAAAAAAAAAAAAACAACAAAAAAAAAACATTTATATAGTATCTTAAGTTACTTACACTTTCCACTCATTGTTTATTAGTACCTTTTCTTTTTCTTTTAGTAGTTTTCCCAGAAGTTTCTGTTGTTTTGAAAAAAATAGTTTTCAAATAATCAGCTTTTGGTTTTGTTGATGCTGTTCATTTTTCTATTTCAGTAAGTTTGGTTCTAATCTTTATCATTTCCATCCTTCTGCTATCTTCAGATTTATCTGTTGTGACTATCTGGATTATTCAGTTTTTTTTTGTTGTTGTTATTGTGGGGAGAGTCCTGGAGATTATATGACAAACTTATATGGTAATATAAAGAAATGCTTTTGGCTGGGCATGGTGGCTTACGCCTGTAATCCCAGCACTTTGGGAGGCGGAGGCAGGTGGATCACCTGAGGTCAAGAGTTCGAGACCAGCCCGGCCAACATGGTGAAATTCCATCTCTACTAAAAATACAAAAAAAAAAAAAAAAAAAAATTAGCCAGGCGTGGTGGCACATGCCTGTAATCCCAGCTACTTGGGAGGTTGAAGTAGGAGAATAGCTTGAACCCGGGAGGTGGAGGCTGCAGTGAGCCAACATTGCACCACTGCACTCCAGCCTGGGCAACAATGGCGAAACTCTGTCTCAAAAAAAAAAAAAAAAAAAGCAAATTGTGATTATGCAAAGGTAACAGAGGTCCTGATACACTCAACTAATATTCATTTCAGCAGAATCTTTAACTCTCCCAGTCCCTGTTCCCCCTTTCACACTCTCCTGGAGTAATCTTTGTATAGTGACTACTGTTATCCTTGCTTCCCCCAGCTAGAGAGCCAGTGAAATTAGGGAAGGGCAATGTCATATTCACCTTAGATCTAGTCTTTCACATGAGGAATGCATTCAATAATAATATCTGTAAGGCTGGATTTCTGGACATTGAAAGGGAGGAGGTCCACAAACATCTTTAACCACCTGCATAATTCCCCATTTAGGTCTTATATGGTCTAGACTGATGTGACTACACAGAGCTATATCATACTACAAATGTTTTCCAAAGCTAAATGTAAATTATATTTTGATTATCCACATCGCTGGTCCCCTCCATTAGCACAGACAATTGATAGTTGGCTATATAATTTATCTACTATTCTGGATTAGCCACACCAATGATCTTCTTCATTAGTGTAAATAATCTAGAGTTCCTCATCTATGGCAGTCACGAGGCTGCCAAATTTGCTTTATTGCAAATTAAAAATTATCTAAATCTAGATTTTAGGGATAAATTCCACATGCTTTTAATATATTTCCTATCTGCCTTAACAGAAGTGACTAGTAAGCATCCAACTATAATTGTTTTTCTTTAATTGAACAAACATAAATGCTAAAATTATACCCCTCTGCTTTAAAGAGGTAAGCAAGCATAAATTGTACATCTATGTGATTTGTGCGGTAATGGAAAGCTTATGTGAATATGTTCCCTAAAGGTGTCGACAACATCTGAATGTTTAGTAATGAGGAATGGACAGAGCAGTAAAAGATCTAGAGATGATAATTCTGTAAAAGAAGTCTTCTTGGCTGGGTATGGTACCTCACTTCTGTAATCTCAACACGTTGGGAGGCCAAGGAGGGAGGATTGCTCTGAGGCCAGGAGTTTGAGACCAGCCTGGGCATCATAGTGAGACCTTGTCTCTACAAAAAATAAACAAAATTAGCTGGGCACAGTGGTGTGTGCCTGTAATCCCAGCTACTGGAGAGGCTGAGGTGGGAGGATCACTTGAGCCTGGGAGGTCAAAGCTGCAGTGAGCTGAGATATGCCCCCTGCACTCAGAACCCTGTCTCAAAAAAAGTCTTCTCTACTTCGTGCTGAGAGATTTCCTGTACAACTTCTCCGCTTTGGAGATAAAGAAATGGGACCAAAGAGAAAAAGTGGGTTGTTTATGTCACATGGTTGAGTCCGTAGCAGAGCAAAACTGGAACTGAGGCTCAGAGCTCATCCTGGCTTTCATAAGCTATGTCTCATCCCCACAGGTGCTGCTGCCCCAATATGGAAGATAAAATTTATCTGTTTATGGATTCTGTTCAGTACTTTTCTTCTCCAGTTGCCCTACAATGTAGGGCTCCAGTTCCCAAGATCCACATCAGTGATGTGTCATAGTTGGAATTCAAGTGGTAACCTGCAATACCACCCACCCTATCCCATTGCTCATACTTCTCATTTTGGGGATTCCCAACACTCTGCATGCTTTTTGCTTCCTGATACCAGATCTGGTTTGATATTAGTTTATCTTGGTTTCTAGGCTACTAGAAGCCTACCTGGAGACTGGGAATAATACATTCCTTTCTAAGAATTTTCTACTTTCTGTGCCACTGCCTTTCCTCCACTGCTTCAAGATTCCTAGAAGTATGGGCTCTGAGCCTATTCTTATTACATCCTTTTTCTGAAATGAGCTGCTGCTGTTTCATACTTAATGTGGCATTTGCCTAGTGGCCTCATGCCAAGTTCTCAACGAGAAGCTTCTTCTGCTTTGGCGTTTCAGCATCTAGAACACACACAGTTTGGCCTTTTCAGTTGGGGTTAGGGAATATGTTGGCTGGATAGGGAATCTGGGCATCTGTGGGGTAGGTAGGCAAGTCAATGATGCAGCATCTGTTTTTTCACCACTGAATGCCAGGGTTTACATGTATGGGATGTAGACTTAACTGAACATTGTACCAGGGAAAACTGGAGAACTAAGTAGAAAATCTAAAATCAGGCCAGGCACGGTGGTTCACACCTGTAATCCCAACAGTTTGGGAGGCCGAGGCGGGTGGATCATCTGAGGCCAGGAGTTTGAGACCAGCTTGGCTAACATGGTGAAACCTCATTTCTACTAAAAAATATATAAAAAATTAGCTGGGTATGGTGGCGTACACTTATAATCCCAGCCACTCGGGAGGCTGAGGCAGAAGAATTGCTTGAACCTAGGAGATGGAAGTTACAGTGAGCTGAGATCACACCATTGCACTCCAGCTTGGGCAACAAGAGCAAAACTCCGTCTCAAACAAAAAACAAAAAACAACAACAACAAAAAAAACACAATGAAAATCTAAAATCAGTCGGGCGTGGTGGCTCACGCCTGTAATCCCAGCACTTTGGGAGGACAAGGCAGGTGGATCACCTGAGGTCAAGAGTTCAAGACCAGCCTGACCAATATGGTAAAAACCCGTCTCTACTAAAAATACAAAATTAGCTGGACGTGGTGGCAGGTGTCTGTAATCCCAGCTACTTGGGAGGCTGAGGCTTGAACCTGGGAGGAGGTGGCAGTGAGCAGAGATTGCACCACGGCACTCCAGCCTGGGAAACAGCAAGACTCTGTCTCAAAAAAACAAAAAAAAAAGAAAAAGAAAAAAAGAAAATCTAAAATCATGCTATGGCTGTGTCAAAACAATTGTGTTTATAAGAAATCAAGAGAACTGCTATCATACTGTTGACTATCATATTTGTCTGATTGATTTTATCAGCTCTATTAGTTTTATCTCAACTTGTTCATGTACATGTAAGATAATTAGAGGAATACGCTCTGATAGCTTGTTACTCTAGCAGGGAGGAAAGGGATAAATCAGTTGAAAATATATTAAGTCTTACTTTAATGTTTATTAAAAAGTAAGTAGTTAGAGTTACATTCTTTTTGAGTTCGTCTTTCAGAGAACACTCCCTGACAACAGAATGCTTTATGTCCAAATGTCATTCAAACTTACGTGTCCATAATGGCCTTTTTGCGCGCAGTGATAGCAATATGCTAAGGCTGATGGTCTTGAAGGGGTCTTCGGCTTTTTGGGTGGTCCAGGTTTGGTCTGTAACATGAATATTTGTGAGAGTTTGTTGATGTTAGAAGAAAATTAAAACCTCATTCTTTCCAAAAGACTTTATAGGTAAGGGATTCCTTAGAAGTTTCTTAGAATGTGGTATGGAGACCTGTATTCAGGCAATTCCATACATTAAAGTATATAACATGGTAAGAACAATTCTTTTACTCTTAATGTCAATGTGTGCTTTCCTCTCCTTCCTCCCTCCTCATTCCATTCGGCATTGTGCCAAGTACTGTGTTCAGTATTCAACACAGTATAATGGGCCAGTAGAACATGAGAGGCATACACATAATTACAAAACAATGTCAATACAGTGACAGTAGTATGTACAAGGCATTAATGGAGTGGTGAGGGGGGACTCCCCCACCAGCGGATGGGGTTAAAGAGGGGTCAGAGAAAGTTTCCCTGAAGGTGTAAAACTTACATTTACTCTCAAATGAGGTGTAAATCAAATGGAGAATCTTAGGCAGAGGGAGCAGAATGAACAATGACATAGAACTAAAAAAGAGCATACATGCTGCCAAAATATGACATACATAGCCAGGTGTAAATGGAAGACAAGGCTGGAGAAAGCAGGGCACAAGAATGGAGGGCATTGTAAGTCAAGTAAAGGAGCAGGAGCTTTACCCAGTTTTAAGTGTCGAAGTTAGGACAGTTAGAGTTGTAGTTTGGGCCAGGCACGGTGGCTCACACCTGTAATCCTAGCACTTTGGGAGGCTGAGGTGGGCGGATCACGAGGTCAGGAGTTCAAGACCAGACTGGCCAGCATGGTGAAACCCCGTCTCTACTAAAAATACAAAAATTAGCTGGGCATGGTGGTGTGCACCTGTAGTCCTAGCTACTCCAGAGGCTGAGGCAGGAGAATCACTTGAACCTGGGAGTCGGAAGTTGCAATGAACCAATATCGTACCAATGCACTCCAGCCTGAGTGACAAAGCAAGAATTCATGTCAAAAAAGGAAAAGAAAGAAAGAAAAAAAGAAAGAAGGAAAGAGAAAGAAAGAAGGAAAGAAAAAGAAAGAAAGAAAGAAGAGAAAGAAAGAAAGAAAGAAGAGAAAGAAAGAAAGAAAGAAAGAAAGAAAGAAAGAAAGAAAGAAAGAGAAAGAAAGAAAACTAGTGTCGCTTGGTCATTGAAAAGATGTGGGGAACGAGGGAAAGGAAAAATCAGGATGCCTCCGTATTTTGAACTTGGGTGAGCAATGACTGATTCAGAAAAAGTAGAAAAAGACAGAGGAGCAAGTTTAGAGGGAAAGTTGATGAAGACAGTCTTGGATATGGAGTATCCAGGTGGGGATCTCCAGGAGGCAGTTTCTATGTAGAGACAGAGGAGTCTGAGCTGGAGAGTAGATCTGAAAGTAATCAGCATAAGAGTGAAGGCTGAAATCACTAGAGTGGACAGGATCACCATGGAGAGTGTAAGAGTGGCTGTGGGCTGAGGAAGGAACCTGAAGACATCAATGCTTAAGGGGCGGGCAGAGGAGCCTGTGAAATGGACATAGAAGGGAAGGTTAAAGGATGCAGAGACATAAGAGAATATAGTAACAGACCTTAGAGAGTTGTTTTAAGAAGGATGAACTGATCTATAATGTCAAATATAGCAGAGAGGCCTAGTGAGATTAGGACTGAGAAACACCCATTCAAAGTGGCAACTGCTCAGATAACCTTACTGTGAAAATTCTGAGATATTCTAGAAAGAGTAAAAGGCAGCAGGATGAACAGTAAAGTGATGCATACAAAGGTGGTAAAATGATAAAAAAGAGCAAAGAAATCATTACTCATAAAAGCCAGGATCTGTGAACTTAACCCGGAATTTTTTTTTTCTTTAAAGCCAGGTTACTTCCAGTGAGCAGAAACAGCACACAGGATTTTAGCATAGCTGCAATTTTCTGTTACTTCAACATGGCAATAGTTAACTTGTGTGTGTACTACATAACTAATTTATTCTTTTGCACATGTATTTTACATACTTTTCAGTATGTATATTAGATTGGTGCAAAGGTAACTGTAATGGCGGTTTCTGCCATTTAATAGCAAGAACCTTCTTTGCACCAACCTATTATTTCAGAATAAAAAATGTTTTAAAAAATTGAATGGAAGTTGTAGGAGAGAGAAGTTATATATTGAGAAGCATCAAGGGGCAGAATAAGATGAAGCAGTACCCAGGAAGGGGATTTGGTGGAGTCTGTTTATAGAATGGGAAAGACTTGAACATCGGGGAAAGACAGTGGAGATGGAGAAGTTGAAACCAAAGGAGGAAAGGAGATGATGGACACAGACCTCTGAGGAGGTGGTGGCTGTAAACAGGAGGAGAAAAACCTAGTCCCTGCACACCCCCATGCTTTGGGGAGACTGGAAGAAAAGTTAAGGATCGGCTTAAATGTGGATCACTTTATTTCTTAGGTTGTTTATTGAGAGTCCTTAACAAAGAGTGCTAGTCTGCCAACTAATTGGTTTTTTTTTTTTGGACTCTGTTGCCCAAGCTGGAGTACAGAGGCACAATCATGGCTCACTGCAGCCTCGACCTCCCAGGCTCAAGCGATTCTCCCAGTTCAGGCTCCCAGGTAGCTGAGACCACAGGGGTGCACCACTATGCCTGGCTACTTTAATTTTTATATATATATATTTTAAATTTTTGGTAGAGACAGGGTCTCGCTATGTTGCCCAGGCTGGTCTGGAACTCCTGGGGTCAAGGGATCCTTTCACCTTGGCCTCCTAAAGTGCTGAGACTGCAGGCATTAGCCACCACGGCCAGCCCGAATTTTGTTTTTTCTTTGAGACAGCGCCTTGCTCTGTCGCTCAGCCTGGAGTGCAGCAGCACAATCTCAGCTCACTGCAACTCCACCTCCTGGGCTCGAGCAATCCTTGGGTTTCAGCCTCCTGAGTAGCTGGGACCATAGGTGCATGCCACCACGCCCAGCTAATTTTTGTATTTTTAGTAGAGATGGGGATTTGCCATGTTGCCTAGGCTGGTCTCAAACTCCTGGGCTCAAGTGAATTGCTTGCCTTGGCATCCCAAAGTACTGAGATTATAGGCATGAGCCAACATGCCCAGGCCCCCTAATTTTGTTTTTAATGTTGCAAACAGGTGGTTTGTAAAGGTTTTATTTCCTTGATATAGGAAAATAATAGATAGGTTATAAAAATATTCTTCAGGTCGGGCACGGTGGCTCATGCCTATAATCCCAGCACTTTGGGAGGCCAAGGTGAGTGGATCATCTGAGGTCGGGAGTTTGAGACCAGCCTGACCAACATGGAGAAACTCCATCTCTACTAAAAATAAAAAAAAATTAGCCCGGCGTGGTGGCACACGCCTGTAATCCCAGCTACTCGGCAGGCTGAGGCAGAAGAATCGCTTGAACCCGGGAGGCGGAGGTTGCAGTGAGCCGAGATTGTGCCATTGCACTCTAGCCTGGGCAACAAGAGCAAAACTCCATTGCAAAAAACAAAAACAAAACCCAAACCCAAACCAAACTAAACCAAAACAAAAAAAACTACTTCAAACAACTTTACTTTCAGCTCTTATTCCCTAAAATGAGAAACTGTAGCAAAACAATAACCGCAACAATCTTTTCTACTGAAAACAATAAATGAAAGCTACACAAAATGGAATTTACAACCTCAGGTATTATCAACTGGGATATAATAAAAATAACAAGGGTTTTATATTCTGCAATTAAAAATGGGGTTCATAAATTAAGACTAGCTAAAAGTCATTAAACAGAGTTTTTTTTTTTTTTTTTTTTTTTGAGATGGAGTCATGCTCTGTCATTCAGGCTGCAGCACAGTGGCACGATCTTGGCGTACTGCAACCTCACCCTCCTGGGTTCAAGTGATTCTCCTGCCCCAGCCTTCAGAGTAGCTGGGATTATGGGCACATGCCAGCACACCTGGCTAATTTTTGTATTTTTAGTAGAGATGGGTTTTTGCCATGTTGGCCAGGCTGGTCTTGAGCTCCTGACCTCAAGTGATCCACCTACCTCAGCCTCCCAAAATGCTGGGATTACAGGCGTAAGCCACCGCGCCTGGCCTAAACAGAGTTTTAACAGGTATGCATATAAGCCGTGTATCACTTATTGCAGTGGTTCACAAATTTCTTCACATAGAACACTGTGAAGACATTAAATTATTAAGCAGAAATGATTTTCCACCCACAAAGATAGCTATATATTATTTGATGTGACATCAAATTGCAGCCACAAGCATACATGGCTTAAGAGAAATAAAAACAAAAGAGATGGTGTCATAGATGTGAAGGTAGAATGGATGTTTCAAGGAAGAAACCATTAAAAGCTACTGATGGGTTATACAAGATGAAGACTATGATATCCACTGGACTTAGTAAACAGGAAGTTGTTGGCAAATAGAGAAACTATTGTGAGTAGTTTCTTTTGAGGGGTAGAGGTACAAGCCAGATTGTAATGGATTTATTATAAGTAGAAAGCTGCTGAAGAACAGAACATAGATGACTTTTCCCAGAAATGAGGTTGTGTATCCAAGAAGGGAAGGGGACAAGTAGAGCAGAATACAAGTCGAAGGATGCCTCCATCAGTGAGATTTACCAGAGTGCTGGGCCCATGGCATGAGTGTATGCATGCATTCCTTCATTAATTTGTTCAAAAAATAATTACTGAGTGCCTAATACATGCCAGACATTGTTCTAAAATCAGGTAACTGAGAAGTGAGCAAGATAAAAATCATTGCTCACCTCTCTAGTGGTGGAAGATAAACAGAGTCAATAATATACAAACATACAAAATATTAGCGAAAAATAGTATGCAAACAATTAAAATAGTTATGTGAATGAGAATCACTAGTGGTGACTTAGATTGACTTTTTTGGGGAAGCCTCAACCAGGATGGTCCTTTCTTTTAACAAGAAAATCCAGGTATGTGATGCCTGGGGAAACACCACTCTTGGCGTACGGCATGGGGAACGAGTAGTACAAAGCCCTAAGGTAGGAACAAACTTACCATATTTGAGGATTTG